TGTCTGCAGCAAGGGCAACTTTGGCTAAGGGTTTCGGCACCTTTGGCGGCGTCTGGGTCACTGTCTGAAGCATCGGCTGCCTGACCGGAGTCACCTCTGAAGGCGGAGCTGCAGAGGTGGGTGAACCAGCAGCAGCTTCCTTTCTCCACTCATTACACGTTCTTTCTGACGGAGGAGCCACCTCATAAAATTCACCATACTGGAAACCTGGCACAATCTGGGTTTCACCAGGATTCTTCAATACAGACTTCCTGGGCGATGGCTGATTGCTCACCCAGGTCAGGTAGTCAATGGACTCAAAAAACTCCTTGAGCCACTCGCCGTCAACGCTCGCAAACCAATCTCCATGCACCAGGGCGAAGAAGTTTTCCAACTTTCGCCAAACCTGCAGACTAAAGACTGTCTGGGTTTATTGTGGTTTGGAAAGATGGAATTCACAGAACTCGGGACAATGAAATGACATCACGATGGGGAATCAACCGATCTAGTCCTCATCGTTTGGAGCTGGATATTCCGGAGCTGGATTTGCACGGTGCTTCTTAGGAGGTGGTTCTTCCGACTCCTGAAAAAATCAGCAGAACGAACGCACACCCTATGATCCATGCAATATCACACTGAAAACACATGTCTCAGACTTCGGGGTGATTGGAAATGGCATGCAAGATCGGACATTCGAATGGCTCCGGCCTCACCCTCTGGAAGATCCTGCGTGAAGCAATAAGATGCCCAAACTATTTCCAACTCAAAAAAAATGAAACATAAAAGGGCCCTCCCCATGAACCATCGATCTTGCCAGTCTTGCTTTATGTTGAAATGCTCAAGCATCGTTTGTCCCCAGGAACCTCCTCAGCTTCAAAGTCCGTGAGACCTTCCTCCGGAGCGTCGGCCTGAATAGCTGCAGCCAACCAAAAAGCTGAATAGCAAATCAAAGGAGAAGAACTGGGTGGTCAGAGACTTGAACGATCATTCAGGCGGCCTCGTCATACGAAGAACAGTCATCACCAACTTCATCACCACAAACCTCCTGCACAAACACATTGAAAATACCCCCCGTCCTCAATGTATGTTGTGGCATAACGCACACACATTGAACAATGATTCAGGCAGCCTCTTCATATACAGCGCCAGCACACTCACCATCAGCTTCGTCACCACCCTCGCGCGCACCCACACGAAGCAGAGTCGTCGCCAAACGAACGAGTATTGGTTGTCAAAAAAAGCACTGATCCTTGTTCAAAGCAGACTTGACATGTGAGCTAAAGGGACTTTGACGGGCCCATAGACAAATGATGCTTTTCAGAAACCAGTTTGCGCTGCCTGGTCAGGATACTGGGCCCAATCGTCATCCTGGTCCGGCTGGGGAAATTCCTCTTCCTGCGCACGCAGTTTGCAGCGTGGCTTGATTCGCTTGGGGCATGAGAAGGGAACACGACTTGTACCACAGCAGGCCTCCATGAACATGGGAACAGTGTCAACGTTGTCGATGTCCTCCTTCACCATCCTAGTCCTCTTGCTCCTTCTGGCAAGATCCCCCAATCGCTTGGCCTGTTTCAACAAAAGGTCGTGCTGGCTTTCTCGTGGGTTTCGAGCCAACTCGAACGGCAGCATCTTCACCAGTTTTTTGGTGACAAGCAAGTTCAGCCGGGATGTGAATACACGGCCACCGTAGTCCTTGAGAAAACTGTAGATTCTCTTATTCTTTTTTTTCCTCATGTCACATCTCCTAGGGTAAAGCGCACCAGTTTCTTCCAAGGTTTCCATGTCAAGAAGTGGGAAGATCTTCTGGGCAACTTCGTTGGCGATTGATCTCCGGCGGGCGGTTTGCTGAGCTTTTCGCCCAGGCTTGCAAAGGCCCCCAGTGGCGCGCACCATCGTGCGTGTGTGTATATTATATATATATATATATTAATAGGATATAGACAGTTGCTAGTTGTTTTCAAGTAGTTAGACATTTGGTGGACACATAAAAAGCGGTTGGTGTATAGTACGGTCCCTGATTTCGCTGATGAATGCAACTTCACCGCCACAAATGGGGTTGGAGCAAAATGCTCTGCAAGCAAGCCGAGCTGAGTGGGGCGCCCTGCGCTCTCTGAATCTCCCTCTCTATCTCTCTCTCTCTCCCTGCCAGTGTGAATGGCTGAGCTCAGCGCTAGCTGATCAGCGGCCGGGCCCCCCCGGGTCACATCCACATGTAGAAAAGTAAAAAGAGAATGACCCAAAATTAAATATAACTTTCATTTGGGCTGGTTGACATAAGGAGCAATCCCACTTAAAGTCGGAGTGTTTCCTGCAATGCCCTTTCAGGGTTCCGGAGCAGTAGTGGCCAATGAATATACATATGGTTTTGCTTCACTCTTTGGAAATCTTTATTAGGCCCCGGCTGCGGAGTGTGCGCGAACGGCCAGCGAGTGCAGGCAGATCGACCAGCGGATCGAAAAAACAAAACGACAACACATTGCAAACACTGGCGGTGTCCTGTCAGTCGTTGGAAAACATGTGTTTTGGGTATTGCATGGTATTGCCAGTTTAAAACACTCTGTGTTCAAAAATGTAAAAGATGTTTCACACAGCCTGCGGTTTAAGAACGTCGTTTGGCAACGCTCTGTTGTAACTAAATAAAGAAGAGAAACTTCCAATTGCCAGAAAAGGAACAAAACATGACAGAAGAAACTTCCGAGTTACTGGAGACTGACAGAAGAAACTTCCGAGTTCCTGGAGACTGACAGAAGAAACTTCCGAGTTGCTGGAGACTGATAGAAGAAACTTCCGAGTTACTGGAGCAAGCGCCGGCAAAACGCCTCAAAGTTCACACAACTACTTCATTATGAGTTGTCCGGGCACAATGCTCTGTGGCGTCCACCGACATAGACATGCGTGGGAACTGATAAGTTTTTGACTGGCGTGGGCCAACCTTCTACCACACCCTCGCCCTTCCAGGAACCTGGATCTATAAGTGCGATTAGCAATGGTGATCCATATGTCCGCTTTACCTCTGCTGGCTGTTTCAACGATGGCCAGTCCTCTGGCATCGAATGCTTCGTCGTCTCGGCTTTACTGGTGCAGCTGGGAAAGATCTGGATTGAACTCGAAGGTTTCGAAGGCTTCGGATGCTCGCTGCAATGCCTGGCAAAATGCGGAGGCTTCAACCGGTTGGCAAAAAACTGTTGCATTTTTATCTTTAGGTCCCCTGTTGGATCGATTGAATTAAAGGCTCTATGAATTACGACGAATGCATGTTCAGGACTGGATGACGTGTCTGGCTCACAGGATGTCCCTACAGTTTGAACGACTCGAACCTGTCTCTCGTGAGAATTGTCCAGGGGCTCGATCACCACTTGGCTGCACTCTTCATTGATGTCCTCGATGACGACATTGGCTTGATCACGTGGACGGTTGGGGCACTCGGCTTTCCAGTGTCCAAGTTCTCCACACTTCTTGCAATGCGTTCTTGCAATTCGTTGGAGAAGTTCTTCTTTCCCCTTTGAACCCCCTTTTCTAGAACCCTTGCCTGCTCCACCGAATGAGGATTTGTACCCCTTTCCAGCACCTTTTTGACCTGGTGGCCAAAAGCCTCTGTTTCTCTTGCGCTCAGTGATTCGGGCTCTGGCTTCACGATAGGATACGAGAGCAGTATGAAGGTCAGGAACCTCCTGCATCAAATCCTCCAGGTCTTTCTCAAAGGCCTGAACGGCCAGGGCATCAGAGTCTCCCCAAGCCGCCAAGTTCTCGATGGCCTCAGGGTTCAACTCATCTTCATCATCGACATTCACTGCATAGGCCTGGTTGGCCTCTTTCGGAACTTCGGGTTCATCGGGTTCGGTGTAGTTTGTGGGATAGATCTTCTTCTTTTCCATGTTTCCTGATCCAGTCAACACGTTGGTGGATAGGGATCGCATCGCACCTTCGACAGCCGTCTTCTCCAGGACTCCACTGGTCATGGTGAGCACTTTCTTTTTGTCTTCATGGGACAGGTTGCTTTGCTTCAGGAGGATGAAAGCAATGACCGGCTTGAGAGTTGTGTCAGGTCCAACTTCATCGAAGGCCACGCTCAACCTGTTGACATAACTTTGAGTTGATTCATCATTCTTTTGAACTGTCTTGTAGATGGCTCTGTCAAACAATTCGAATGTGCGAAGCTCCGAACTCTCTTCCCAACTCTGTAGGGCAGCTAAGTAGTGTTTGATCCCATTGGTTGGATCTGTCAGCAACTCGGGCGACAGGGCTCGCACTTGATGCCAAGCGGTACCCTTGCACAACATAGCAAGCCTTGGGGCCAACATTGCACGATCCTTCTTAGGACCGATTCCGTCCAGGAACTTCACCTTTGCCAAGTATTCACGAGCGTCGTCCGTGCTTGGGTCAAACGAGGGCAACAATCCCGAGATTCCAGAACTTTTGTCATCGCTTCCTGAACTGGAGCCTTCCATGGCTTGATCCTACCTGCGGATGCCACTGTAGGCTCCGCTACCAATGTGACTCCCGTAGGAGCACACACTGGCAGCGGCCTAACCTAACAACCTACCAACTCCTATCTACCAAAAGAGCCTCGAACCCTTACCTACCGAAGGGGCCTCCCTTCCCGCGGCCGCGCTCTTTCACTGCCGGCACCGCACGAGTCCTCTCGTTCCTTGAGCCACCGGCGAACCGATGGATGACATCTCGAAGGTTGGAACTTCTCAGGCAGAAATCACAGCTAGGCAGGTATGTTTGAAGACTGGCCATATTGTTGCATGTCAACAAAATGTCACCTGAGCTACCTAGTGACTTGTGCCGTTCAAATTTTAAACCTGCTATATAAATTGCCTTTGGGAATATTAATTAGGCGCGAAAACCACGCCTGACTTGATGTTCATGTGCGAGTTGTTGACTAAGAGATACCATTGCCATCGACCATTTGTTGGTGAAGATCCACTAACGTTAAAAGTAGCCAACCTGTTTCAAAGCGCACCTCTACCATTTGCGTGCTCATCGTTGAGCTCCGGTTTCGCCGCGAACCGCAGGAGCTCGTTGAACTGAATTTGCTGAGCATCAGCCGCTGGGTCTTTGGCCAGGGCTCGCCGGGTCGTTGGCAGCCGCCAGGGCGACATTGGATTGAGGGGCCCATACGGAGATGCTTCACAAATCTCGGAGAGGGGTTGTTCATCAACAGTCAACATCAACTTGTTTTGAATCAGAAGCGCTGCCCCTTTCTCTTGATGTCTACTGACAACCTCTGATCAGGTTTCACACTACCTGGGAGTTCAAGGGGTCATCCGCGAGAATTGTGGGGAGATGTGGGGAGTTTTAGTGCAAGCTAATCAGCTCAATCTGTGGAAAGTTTTTCATACTATTTTCATACATCAACCGGCCATTCATAGGCACCAAGAACGCATGATATGACCAGGCTGGCACAGGCTTCAATCATCGAAGGTTTGGAGCGGATCCGCCGCCCAGCTCGGTGGAATACTCCAGAAAACGGCCACCGGACCATGAGACGGCTTAGCGTTGAATCCAAGAAACGAAAAGGAACGAGCTGAGACAAACGCAGTCGATTCTACCTCATACCTTTGGGATGATATGTGAGTGGCGTGCATTCTGTGAAGCTGAAACCAAAAGATGCTAACTGCTTCGAAGTTGAAGTGGACAATGGTGGATCGGTCGATCTCGTTTGTCACTGCAGGGGAGCAGCTCCAGGAGGTCTACCATCAGGCCCGCCCCATCGGAATGAAGTCATCAATGTGTCTACTATGACCAAGCGATGTGAAAAGGCAGCAGTGATGTCTCTTTTCTATCTCAGAGGCTTGGTCTAAAGTCTAAAGTCATTCACTTGGAAAGACTTGGAATAGAAAGGGGATGGAGCACCCAGATGCACACCCAGAGGGCAGACCCTTCATCCTCGCCAGAATTCCAACTACGAGCTTTTTGATCGCAACAACTTTCATAATTGACATTATATATGTTTGACATTATGTATTTAGAGTTTATGGTATGTTTTCTGGATGAACAATTGGGTTTATAACTGACTCGCTTTCAATTATATATTCTTGAATTACTGTATTCCTTTATGAACCTACCGAAAAAGCTGTCTTTTTCCTTAGTTAACAGCAGTTGATGATTTCATGGTTTCGGTAGCGGGATGATTTTGAGGTCTATGATTGACTCGTCGTTTACTCTTGCGATGTGAACATTTTACGCCATTGGAGCTGGAATAAGGGCGGCAGCTGACACCAGACTTGTCCTTAATCGATCATAATTACTCATAAAGCTGGATGTGAGCTGGCTTGCTCTTTTGCTTCAATGGTTCGATCACATTAGAGGTGTTGCTCTTCTTTCTCGTGTGTTTCAAACATGCGAGGCCCTGCGTCAAAAAGAGATCCGACAAGAACTGCAGGCCAGTGGTAGTTTGCGAATGAAGGAAAGGGTTTAAGCAACAGGAAGCTTGTGCATTGTTTATTATATGCTTTGAGGGTCGAAGGAGTTTCGCTCCAGGTCAGATCTATAGATTTTTGTTTCTCTGATTTTTCTGCAAGCATCGCTCTCACGAGAGGCCCTACAGCTGCGCTGGTCCAAAGCACGGCTCAGAGTTGAGCGCAAATCCAAGGTTCCACGCGTTTTTCAAAGGGGAGCCACGCAGGTGGTAGTGTAGCTGGCTATAGACTGCAAAGCATTCAGACTTGCAAAGCAGTCAGGGCATTGCGACGGACTTCCGATGTTCAGTGGACATTGATGTTCACCCATTTTCCACGGGTTTGGAATCAGGTGGAAGTCCAAAGCTTCGGATTTCTGACAAGAAGTCTCAATTCCCCTTTAGGAGCACTGCCAAAATACTGGCGTAGAGAGATGAGACATGAGATTCAAGCAGATTGTTCATGGTACCCTGGTACACGTGCATAGAATCAATGACAAGCAACCTAGCGGTCAGAAGAGCACATGTTTACTACAGCAATACATCTCAAAGCACCTGAAGAAAGCTGTGTCTCAAACTCGGCGACCGAAGAAAGCTGTGTTTCTGCTGGTTCTTAGGTCGTATATTTCTGGATTTGGTGAAGCACCATTCTCTTTGGTAAACTCAGATTGAGAGACGAGATGCTCAGATTGAAGCTCTGCCTCGACGAGCTCCAAGCCAGCTTTCCTTTATCCTTTGTCCTGTGAGAGTACTGTAACAATGTGAACGTCCACTGGTTTATATTTATGTGTCCCACTCAAAAGTCTTTGACATGTTCAGGTGGGACAACACTGAATGATTTGTCTACGGTTTCGCGTTCTTTGAAAGGGCTTGGTTCTGGAAGTCACATTCGTTATCAAACCTGCCTGTGAAAACCAGCCAACTCCCATTCATGCGATTCATAGGGCCATCTATACGGCCAGGCCATAGAGGTCGCCCGAGACGGACGATCCCTCCAAGAGGTCACTGACCCAGTTCGGAGGGTCTTTTCCACACCACCACGGTGGTATGGTGTACGTGGTGTTCGGAGGGATTGACGTACCAAAAGCCCCCCCACAAAAAACATCCTGTTGTTTGGCCAGGCCGCGGCAGCCGAAGAGGCTAAGGAGGCCAAAGAGGCCAAAGAGCTGAAAGGAGAAGCCACGTGGGGAGCCCCGGTGAAGTTTGTACTGTGCAATCAAGAGGTCCATGATACAGACTTGAATGGGGTGAAACTGCTGATTGCAGTCAATCATGTATAATTATGATCTATAACATATATATATATATATATTATAGAGAGAGTGTAGTATATATACAGTATATTCCACGGCTGAAATCATGCATCACTTGACCATGGGTCCACTTCTATGTGGGTCACCTAGTTTTGCAGAGTGATTCCGACTTCTCAAGACAAGGACCCAGGTCGGCCCCGTTAAGTTCCGCGAGTTGTGCCAGCGAACAGTTGGGTTTGACGAAACTGGTGCTGTAGCGGTGTCCCCCCCCTTCTCGAAATGAGGGCTATTGAAATCCATTACAAATTCATTTATTTGCTCCTTTTTGTTGGGTGATTAGACTTGAAACACATCCACAACACAATGTTACAAGTTCGTTGCCTCACTTTCAACATCTTTCTCCCCTACCGGATTGATGTCTTATGTTGGCCACTTCCTGTGTTAAAAAGAATGAAAGCTACTAGGGGCTCCTGGCCTTACTACTAGGAACAAGGACGCTACTAGTAGCAAAGGGCATCGCTACTAGGAGCGATTGGACGCTACGAACGGGGCTCCTGGCCTTGTGTTCCTTGACCATTGACCGAGTCGATTGGTCTCGGTGGATCCACCAGAGGCCCAGGCGCCGAGCATCTGTCGCCATCTCCCTGGCGGATGCACGAGCTGTGCCTGGCATAAACACGGGCCGCTGGTGGAGCGTTCCAACGGCCATGCCCTTCTGAGTCTGGTCCTAGAAAAAGAGTGGTCCGTGTTGCCAGACTAGATCTCCAAACATTTCGCCCCAGGGTTAGAGGGTTTCGACGACTGATGAAGACTATTTTTGCTATTGAGTCCATATATGACTACTGATCTGTTGCACTTGTTGCACTCTCAGCATCGAAGTGCTTGGAAAGGTAGAAGGTAGAAGTCTTTGGGTTAGGAAAAACCTTGAAAAACAACGGGCCCTATTAATATTGACATGTCTTGAACATGTTTGGCCTTAGTTGAGGTCTACGAAGGCCTGGAGAATGGCTCCGAGATGCTTGAGGATGGGTTGCCGCGTTGGCGTTTAGTGGTCTCTACAGGGCCTTCGCCTTTTGCTGGCACGAGAACAGCCTTTCAAAATCCAGCGAGCCACAACCAAGCTGCTACCACCTCCTACCCAATGATCCCCTGCAAACAAGCAGCTACAAAATCTCAAAAGACGATCAAGAAGACTTCTGTCATTGTATGTCATTATCCTGAAACGTCAAGGGCTCTTTTTTCGAGCCATCACAGATGCCAACACTTCCTGAGACTGTCCTCACCTTCACCAGACCCATAGCACCCCAGATCCTTGGCACCAGGAACAGCATAATTAGCATGAACCACAGCATGAATTCATGACAAGCCCCAAGCAGCCCCAGAGATCCTTGGGTTCTTTAAGTTGCACCAGCTATAGAAGGCCTTCAACCCCAAACCTGTAGTTATTGGTAGCTTTTTGTTACTAGTATCTAGTAGTAATGCCAGGAGCTACGTTCGTAGCTTCTTGCTCCGTTCCTAGCGAGGCCCCTGTCGCTCCCGAGGACTTGGAGGCCTCGCTGCTGGCGGCGGCGCAACTCCTCTGCCGCGCCGACTCCTCGGGCGGAGCACTGGCCGACGAGCTCCTGAAACAGGCACCGCTTGGCCCAACCAGAGAGACGGGAGATCCGCTTGGAAAAGGAGGTTTTTGAGCGCAACAGGCATGTCAGAGGCGGTATAATATGAGTGTATTATGATGCTTTATATGATTTAGTAGACAGGGACTGGCAGCAGATTGGATTGATTACAATGGATATTCTGCCGAGACTAGTTGCATCCGCAAGGATCTTGTTTGGACGGCCCAGTTGATGGTATTGGATGCTCCGATACTCCTTGAGATGTTGCACCCAACACAGAGTTGAGGTCTTGGGCTGGCATACGGCATCTTGGACTTCTTTTGTTGGACTTCTTTTTTGGCGGAAACACTGAGGCTTTGGTTGTCACAGCCAGAGTTTGTTGTGACAGCCAGGTGCATGTCGGACTTGATGTTTTCTGTGTCTTCAGTATGTTTTGCAAGGCTTGAACGAGACACGGGTCTGGTACAGTACTGTGCAAATGGTCAAAAGTAACAAGTCTCTTGACATGCACATCTCAGCCCAGGACTTGGTCAAGATGCAAGACGTACTGGAGGAGCTTCCAAACATTTGATCACCTTTCCCTTGAAAGATGTTCTTGAGACATGGCTTCCAGTAAGGTCTTGAGAAGGTTGTAGCAGTTGTAGCACCAAGATTCTGGCCCTACGCATCGTTACCTCGGCCGCTGTCATTTGGTCGGGGGGACAGTCGAAGAGCAGGAGAGGAAGTTCCATGAAGTTCCATTCAACAGCGGTTCCAGACTACGCCCACTTGAATGGATTTTTCGCCTTTAGCAAATCCCCCGAGGTTCGATATGGAGACGTGAAACACTGCGGTTTGCAGGAGTGGTTGCGCCTTCAAAACCTGAAGATAGAGATCAAGTCCGTCTATGCATTGCCGGTGACTTGACTTTGCACATGGATCAGCGACCTTGGTGGGACAGGCTGTGGATAGAATAGATGGCAACATGCATTCTTTTTCTGAACATATCTCCGTGGCAACAAACTACCACGCACACAATGCACAAGAAGTAGCATACTTCGTTGCTTGATGCACGCAAGACCTTCGCATAGATTGAAGACAGCTGGTCGCCGCCAAGAGGAAAATCAGGCTGCACAAATCCTTCTTGGCATTGCACCTACTATTCGCCACAGTGCCAGTGAAGCAACAAGATGTTTCCTAGCTCGGAATCTTCCAAGATCAAGCTCGGAGCTCGGTCAAAAACAACATCCGAGCAGCATGCTGACATATGCCGAAATCCGAGCAGCTCAACAGAATCCTTTCGCTCTTTGTTTTTCACCGGTGCCAAGACCAGGCACCACTTGGAGAATTCTCCACTTCGGGTCAACTTGTTCGATCCGACCCCTGAGGAAGTCCGCGATGCCAAGAGTTCGGAGGCATGCCCTTTTTCTCTATGGGAAGTATCGGACAGTTTCAGGCTTTGTAAGTTGTTGTAGCAAGTTGTTCTTCCTTTCAAGATTTAGAAATATTTAGATATATTTAGAGATATATTTATATAGTAGATAGGAAACATATGGCAGCAGGGCAGATACTCTTGAGTCAAGGAATCCAGAAAGTGTTTCTCTCCCAAACTAGGGGAGGGCTTCATTCTTGAGCAGAACAAATGGTGGGATGCGTATATGTTTATTTATATCATTGATTCGGGGCAGCTTGTTTGAAGGCACACCAAACATCACCTCAACGATAAAATATCACAGAGCCTTCCCGACAATCTTGGATCTCAAATCAAGAGCTATATTAGACCTTTTTCATTTTTTTTCTGATAGGGATGGCCTCCAACCTAATAGCGATGGCCTCTGGCATCTCCCTGGCAGTTCTCCGAGCTGAATGCCATCGAGAATTGGAACTCTGGCCGCATTTAGGGACGGGGCCAAAGGTTTCGGCGGCTTCCTCACAGACGAGGGGGAAATCAACAGGGTTGTGTCGTTGAGCTAAGCTCAACATAGACATTCAGATAGATATATAGTTATAGACTTATAATAGATAAATTGGGGCTTGTGTTGCATAGATACAGACAGCAATGATATCACCTCATTGCAGCGATTGCCTTGGAGTTCAACTAGCAAAGAAACACCTGGCGTTGAGCTAACCCGATCTATCCCAATCCCCAATATTTCCTAGCTGGTCCAAGGATATTGAGGTGAGTTACGGTGCTTTTGCTAATTTAGATGCTGCTCATGTCGATGTGAGTCCTTTGTTGTGCATGTTTGCCAATTCCACCTTTTGTGCACTAATAATCCATGTTTTCGTGCAAAAAAGCTAAAGACTTCCTACTCCCTTCCCCCTTCCGCGTGAACCGGGTGAGGAAAAACACCAAAGCCATTGGATTCTGTGTGTACTCACTGGTTCCTGCGTCGTATCGCTTGAACAAGGTGGCAGGAGCTGATGGCCACTGTGGAGTCGCAAAAGTTAATGACCAAGGCGCCCAGAACAACATTTCTGCCAATCTGAAACATTGGGTCATGTAGGGTGACTATCAGAAAAGGTAAACATCATATAACGCCTGTATCACGATTTGATACACACAATATAAATGCTAATGAATGTGCATTTGCATAAAACTATACATTCATATAATATACTATGTGTTTGTTGAGGGTCGTGCATTTAGGGTGACTGTATTTGACGGTGATCCTGGAGTTGGATCCGTTTGTCATCGCACTTGGCCAGAGGTGTTGCTGAAGGCCAATTTGCATGCTGAGACTTGACTTGCAGGTAGTTTAATTTTGCACCTTGCTCTTGACTATTTGCATGATCAAGAAAAGCATCACAGCTGAGACTGATCAAGACAGTTGCAGCACAGTACAGGATAGTATGTTTCTTAATGTTCGTTCAAACGCTTTTTTAATGAGTGAACTTGCCACCCTGGAGAATCGCATGGCCGTTACCGGGTAACCAAACCGAAACTGGGGACACCGGGCACTCCATTGCAAGACACAATTAACAGCTCAAAAGACACAGGAAAACCATCACGAATATATCTTCCTGTTTTTAGTAAAAGGACAGTTTCGACTCAGCGATTGATCGTTCCACCGGCTTTGCAGCAGTGATGAAGCTTGTTGATGCGAGGATCTCTTGCAGAAGATCTCGGATTTGGCCAGAATCTTAAAATGTCCTAGTCAAATCGTAAGTCATGGATGGCATTTAGGGCAGATTGGTTTGGCAGTGGTTGTTGGATATTGGTGTCAAAAACTTGCATTGCGACCTTTACAGCATAGCACATCAACATGCTGTGCGACCATGAGGAGCGATTGAAAGAGGACATGGGCAGCGTCTTTGTCAAGAAACGCATCTGTGATGCACTCTATATATATATATACACATGGTCTTCTCAAGTGAGGTATGGGCCAGTAAGGGCATACCTTGAGTTGCATGAAGGTATGTAGACCCGTTGCTCTGTTGTGTTGCTCGAGACTCATCATTTCCGGCTTTAAACAAGGGAATGTCCCATGAATCGGTGATTGGTTTCGTCCACACATGTTGGTGATCTACTTCCGAACATTCATGGAACCAGAGGGTTTTTGGTGGGGGAGGGTACCTCCAAACAGCAGCAAATGAAACACGGTCACCTCCAGACCACAGTCCCCACACCTCATCGGTTTCAAAAGCGAACCTCCGCACGTCTCTGCCCCTGCGACCACTCAGGAAGTCAGTGTCCACGACTGCATTTTTTGGTGGATGCGGACATCCTGGCGTTTCAGCTGCAGGGGTCTTTGGCAACAAAAGAGATGGACCAGAAAAGGTGGACTTGGGTTCTTTGAAGAAGGCCGCCTTTATTAACGCATTAATCTCTATTGGCTTATTTCAAGTTAAAGGAACCCAAGTCCACCTGTTTTGTCCATCTCTTTTTCCAAGGATCACAAGACAAGAGCGTTCCTTCGAAGAAGCCAGAGTCGCTAAGCTTCTGACCACATGCTGGTGCCGAGAAACCGTAAGGATTGACAGGGATGTGTTCAGTGGATTTCAGTGGGCGAGTAATGTGTGTTTTGATTGCACATCATGCACATTCGGGAGTAGTCAAGGTGCAGACAACAAATATATATATATATATGCACACCTATCACTGGAAGGCATGAGCATGTTGCATGCTCAAGTTTGGGCTCAAGGGTCTCATGCAGTGGGCCTACGTGGCGGACCTGATTCGCGAGATCAGGTTCTTTTGGCCCGCTGCTTCGTGCGGGACTACTTGGCCTTTGGTGCTCCTTGGCCTGGTTCTGGCTTTTTGCTGCGGTGCTTGCCTTGGAATCTCTTGCACCCTGGTTGCGACCTCTTCGTCTGTGCGGAGAGGGCTGGTGTGGGTGTTTGGCACGGTGCTCAAGGCCCTGATTGCTCCGGAACTTCCTGACCAGAGACTTGCCTTGAGACGCCGCCTGAACCAATACCGGAGCGAGCGTGCATGAGTGGGGAACCTCCGGTAGACGAGCTTACGGTCATTTTTTCTGGATTGACTATCAAGGTTTCAAAGACAGTTGAACCCCAGGGAGCAGTTGGACCCAGTGACACGTCTAGCCTGAGTTCCTTTAGTCTTGTTGAGGATACCCCCTGTCCGGGTGCACTTGCAGGCCTGAGGACTCAGGCCACCGAGCCAACCCGAGAGGTTGGACAGGCATCCTCTCTCGTTGAGGGATCTTCAAGTGGAGGCCTTAGCTGGAAAGCGGCAGTTCTTGCTGCGACGAATCCCGCTGAGTTTGAGCTCCTGGATTTGTCCTCAGTTCGCCACCTTCAGAATCGGATTAGGGCAGCTTCACCTGTGGCGCGCTTGGGGCGAGCTCTCAGGCTTGTTATCATTGCAGCTGAGCAGATTGCGGGGGAGATCCACGTCCCAATTCGCTCGACCAGACAGCGCCTGGGCAAGAGCCTGGTTGGACTTCCAAGTATAGTGAATACCTTGAGGCTGTGAGGGTGCCAGGGCCATCTCATCGCCTCAATCGTCAGATTGTCAGCCACGCCTTTTCCTCTCAGGCAGAGGCAGACGGCCTATTGCATTGGGGCCGGCCAGCCATGGCCGCTTCCATTGCATCCGGCCAACTGAACGAGAGCAGCCTGAGAGCCTTGTTCGAGGCTCTTGGGCCTACTGGGGCGCTTCCAGGCGTCCTGCTGGTGCTTCCTCAGCGTGCAGATGGCATGGGAGTGCGAGTGGCCGGTCATCTTGTGAAGGTCAGGGCTGGAGGGTTTTTGGTAGTCCTCCCCGATGTGGAAGAAGTGGATTCCTTCCTTCGAGAGCTTTCTGGAGAAGAGGGTGCCGATGGTGCCATCATTCACATGGCAGAGTTGGAGCTCGAAACCACGCGTGGCCGACCTCTGGGTTCTGGTTCCTGCCTCCTGGTCGACTTGACTTGGGAGATGGCAAAATGGTGTATGCGAGTCTCTGTGCTGAGGAGTACATCGACCTACGAGGTCATCCGCTTCACTCTCAACGAAGTGGCTTGCAGACCAAGGAGATCCTCAGTCGAGGGTGTGGCCAATGCCTGGATCGCAGACACTATGGATTCCGACACTGCTGGCGAGTACCTTACTGCCGAGGAAGCTGAGATCATCCCCGATCAACCGGAGGAGGAATGGCCAGGACCAGAGGAGATGCAGGAGGAACTAATCTCACTCAGGCAGCGGCTTGCAGAACTGGAGGGGGCTCAAGTTCATTCTCCGGCACAGGCTTCCTTCACTCGGCCTTCCTTGACTGCTCGCGAAGTGGCAAGACAGAATCCAGGCCTGCTATTCAACTCCCCAGCAACCCCTCATCAGCCTTCGGAGCAAACGATGCAGAAGCTACAGGAGTTGGCAGGTGCAGCACCTTTGAAGCTTGCTGCTCACGAGAAGGTCTCTCGGGCCACCAGGCCTCAACAGTTTCTGGAAGGGCTTCAACAAGAGCAGACTTTAGAAGCTTCAGATGGTCAAGAACTGGAAGAGGGCCTCCAGGAGCTAGAGGCGACCTTGCAGGATCCAATGCAGCGCATGATGTTGTTACAGATGAAGCAGCTGCAGGTCTTGTCCAAACAAGCTCAGAACAAAGCATTCGACCCCATCCACCAAGCTTTGGCCGGTGGGAGCGCTTCAGACTCAGCAAGTTCGGGCAGTGGCATCAAAGGATGCCTTGCCAGAGAAGCCTACATCCGTGTGGCGAACGACCTAGAGAAGGTTGGGGAGGTGGTTCAGCAGAACGCTTCTGCAGAGCTGGGGTTGGATCCAATGCAATTAACCTCATGGGGGCCTCATGCGAGAGTTCATCGAAAAGCGCACTCCTTTGGCCGATCAGCGGTTGCTCACACAGATGGCCTACCTGTTCGCAGGAGGATGGGAAATTGCTCACAAGTCGGGGAACCGGCAGATGCAAGGTCTTTGTGCTCGAGGCCTGTTGTTCATCGACCAAACAGCGATAGATGCTGGGCGCACAAACCTGTCTTGGCTCCTGGCGGGAATGGCAGAACCTCAATACTCCATTGTCCACAGAAACAGGACCACAGCCTCATTAGCTCCGTTCAGCCGATTAGCTCAGCCAAGTTGGATCTCAGCCAACGTGGCTTATCTCAAGGACTTAGATTTTCTGGAAAGCAGAATCAAGACCAGCAATCAGTTCGGCAATCGGAACACGGAGGCTCCAAAAGAAGGAGAGGAGGAAAAGAATCCCAAGCGGCCTTGGAAACCAAAGAAAAAGCCCAAAGGGGGCTCGGCCTCAGAATCAGCAGCCAATTAAGGCCCTCGGTGCCTCCAGCTCCAGAGCAGTGCCTCAGCTCCTTTGCTGCGTTCTTCTACCTCAGGGCGAAGGGATTGTCTCCCTCTTGCCACCTGCGGTCGGGGGGCTGGGCTGGATCTGCTGCCTGCTGAGGCTTTGGGGCCTGATTGATGGCGCCTGATGGAGGCCGCAACCCAAAGTCTGGTGGGTTGGGAGATGACGATGAAGTTCAGCCCGATTTTGCAAAGCAGGGCAAAACCTCTCAGCTGCCAGATCAAATTCAATGCACAATGCACAGAGTTTTTCTTGACCGCCTTGATGGTGGCATCTCAACGAGGTGGACTTGCACCCTTCATGCGAGCTAGCCTCATCCCAGTCCGCGATGCTGACGGACCTTTCACTTCCAGGTCCGACATGTGGCCCTGTCCCCCTCAGGTGTGGGGTCGATGGACAGAGCTCAGTTCCTTGTCACCCAAGCGCAGGAGAAGGCACAGATTCTTGCGCCTCAGAGCTCAGGCCGTGCAGAAGCTGGTGATCGCCTTGAACTGGCTGACTCTTGGCCATGTCATGAAACCTCCGGTTCACGCACGTGTTGGGTTTCCTATGAGCCAGCGTCAGGCCGACATGCTGGAGCATCTTGATGAGTTAGTGGCCTTTTTGTTGAAGGCTGGAACTGTCAACCAGGAGAGCCTTGGCCGAGCCGGTGAGAAGTTGAACAAATTAAGTTTGCTTGCTTTTAATTTGCCTGAAGCCTCTAAGTCTTTGAGTTTTGGGGACTTGGATAGTTTTTTGAGCATTTTGCATTCCCAATTCGATTCGTACTCCAATCCCAAAAAAGATATAGGAAACACCCCCGGCCTGAGCCAGAGCCTTCCAATGACAGTGGCGGTGTACCTGTCAAGCCTGTGACTCGGGTTCCGATGGATTCATTTCTACGCCAGTTCAAGCTGATCGCATCAAGTGGAAACTAGCACCGACATTTGACCCAGTTCCCTTTTTGTCGGACCCCGTGGTCAGAGCAGCTTTCAAGAATCCAGAAGTTCTTCGTCGCCCCAAGCACCAATGGCCGCACAGACCAAAGGCTGTGGTGCATGGCGAACGTTCAGAGATCCTTAAGCTTGCGGAAAAGTGGGACAAGCTGAATGCTTGCAAGGTGGCGGCGTGCTCGGCAGTTGCCCCAATGGAAGCAGTTGGCCTCTTCACAGTTCCGAAAGATGACACTTGGGGTCGGCTCATACTCAATCCGACAGTGATCAATTCACGAAGTTTTGGGTATTCGAACTTCACCAAGACTATAGCACCTGGCTACTTAATTGGACAGATTCAATTGGGGCAGGACGAACAACTTCGTTTGTCGTCGGACGACCTTTGTGAGTTTTACTACACATTTGAAGTTAGTTCTGCTAGAGCCAAACGGAACGCAATTGGTGTGGTTTTTAAGGGACATGAGCTTCAACACTTGTCTTGTTTCGATCCACGGTTGATTCACGAAGATTGTTATGTTTGCCTGGGGACCCTAGAAATGGGGGACGCATTGGCGGTGGAAATCGCACAGCAATCGCGTATCAACTTGTTGAGAAGCCTAGCAGGATGTATGTTGACAACAGAGACCCTTCAATACCGTGTCCCTTGCCCGCGTGGACCCTTCTATGAGATGTTGACTATCGACGATCACATTGGCATCCAGAGGGTCCCTTTCAACC